AATGCAGTAAACACTGCCCTGTTATCTTCGTTCGGTTGATTTTTGGGAACGCATCTGCTTGAGACGCTTCTGGGAGGTCCTTTTATCAAACCAGCATTTGAGATGCTGTGCACTGGTTAGTCCATTTATATACAATCATATCCACTGTTAAGGCAGAGTCACATGAGTTTTTTTGTTGAGCATCGAGTGGTTTAATCGGTAAATGTTTTCCATAGTAGGACTTCTTATTAGTGGTTCTCCTCAATTAAGCGCGTAAGGGTTTTTAATGTGAATTTTTGCGCGTCTTGGCGTTTCCATTCAGCGTTTTTTATACAATATCCCAAAATGTCATCAAAGCTATTTACTACCGTTATATCATTTAAAACCTGTGTGACTTTCTGTTTTCTGCAGACATGAGTAAACGAGGACAGAACTTTTATGTTTGGGTGAACTATCCCTTTAAGTGTCCAAATGGTTTTTGGGGCCACTGAATTACTTTATTATGCACACTGCATTTTTCCTTATATAAACCTGTTATAATCACAACACTTGTAATCACGCATGTCATGTATTAGTCCAATTTAAAGTGCACTCACAAATACCCTTTCACATGGAACGTGATTGAATCAGTGAGAGCAGCACAGTTTTATTTAGTTTTCTTTAAGTTTTGTGTCCACTAAAACACTAAGATGTGCACAACAGAAACTGGTGGTCAAAGTACATACTTAGGCCGTGTGTCCACCAAAGCGTTTTTCCACGCGCCTGGTGTTTGTTTTCAATGGGAGCGCCGCATTTTTTAAACGCCATGAGCGTAACGAGGCGCTGAGTGTTTTTTTTTTCAGCATTTTTTACTGGTCGGCAAGAGTTGAAAAATGTTCAAAACGCAGCGCTCATCACTTTCACTTTTTACCCAGCTGTCCAATCACAGTGGAGGAGGGGCGGGACTAATAGACAGCGACCTACTATAACAACATTCTTTCTGTACAACGACATCAACCAGCAGAGCTAACCGAACAAAATGGATGAAAAATACATTTTTAGTATGAAACAAATTATCTGCGAAAATAGTTACAAGTAAACTGTGCAGCAGATATAGACCATTTCACAAGATGTAAACAACACTGGTCCAGAAGCACTTCCTGTTTCAGTTTTTTAACACTACATAAAAGCTGGGATATAATACAACCAACAGAACATTTAAAACTGAATCAAAAAGTTAAACAAACATCTTTAAGATGTTTCCTTTACATGTGAAATAAAGAAAACAGTTACAAACTGAAACAGGAAGTGTTTCTGGACCAGTGTTGTTTACATCTTGTGAAATGGTCTATTCTGTATCATAGCAACGTTACGTCTACGAAAAAAAAAAAAAATGCTGCGCTGCCAAAACGCTCTCATCCGCTCAAAGCACGGCGTCTTCAGCTGGATAAAATCGCTTTGGTGGACACACGGCCTTAGTGTGTGTGGCTTACAAACCTGGTCTTAGTTTCTTGGCTATGTGCGCCAAACAGACGAGGCTATACATATGTGCACCAGAGGCTCTGATGATGTTCAAATGAACCCTACACCACTGACGTCGTAGTTTGTGTAGTTAGGGTTGCATGTGTAGTCATGAGATTGGAAGAATCTGAAGTCAAGTACACTATAGGGGGTTATCTCATGCAGTCAGAGATTGCTGAAGGCCAGTCTGAGCCTCAGATGGACCAGACCGGCTGGTGCATATTACACACAAATGCCAAGAACTTTTGAAAATATCCGTTTCCAGTCGCCAGAATTAATGAATCAGGATGCGCATGTTTTTAGCAGCCTCTCGAGAAACAAAAAAGTGGTAACACTTTACAATACGGGTGCACTAATGTGCATTAATTCATCCTTAACTAATGCACAGATAATCATGAGTTAATGTATGACTAATGAAGAACTAAACCATTAATTGATGATTACTGCATCAAAAGAGTCAATATGATTAATAGATTAAGTAATACATGAATTGCTATTAATTCGATGTGTCATTGTGGATTAATTCCTTAATAACATATTTTCTTAACTAATAGTGTAAATTAATGTGTTAATTACCACAATTAGTCAAAGCTATGCACTTCAACTTCCAGTTCTCTGCTTTAATCAATCATTAGCTAATGATTTGCAAAGGTATCATTATGCTATGACTTTACTTGATGAGGCACATCATTATTAACTGGTCATTTAGTAATTGTAGTAATTTGCACATGAATTTGCACTAACAATGAAGTAATTAATCATGTATTAATGCATATTAGTATACCTGTCATATTACCTGGAAGTTGAAATACAAGGCTTTGGCTCATTCTGGTAATTAACATATTAATTAACGCTATTAGTTAAAAAAATGAGTTATTATGGAATTAATCCACAATTACATATTTAATAAATAACAATTCATGTATGAACTAATATATTAACCTTACAGACTCTTAATTAGTTCCTAATGTGGTAATCATTAATGAATAGCTTAAATAATCATTAGTTACACATTAATTCAGTATTATCTGTGCATTAGTTAAGCATGAATTAATGCTTATTAGTGCACACGTATTGCAAAGTGTTACCCAAAAAGTTGACACAAAGTCTGCTAGAACAAGTGAAAGAACTAGATACTGCATTTCTTGTAATTTATTCTTTGTTGTTAATTAATTATTAGCTTGTTTAAATAATTGCTCATCAGTTTCTGTATTGGTATACGGAAAATGTTTGTAGACATTGTTGCCTTTCTATCCATCAAGAAAGATTTTTCATTTACATAATTATAGAAAATACAGCATTGCTTCATGATGATATCTTGTTGTATATTCCGCCTGTGGAATATGGTGTATAATTGAACCAGACAGATGACACTTCACAGGCTTATAATGTGACTGAGAAGTGAGCAGAATAAAGATGAAAGGGTACGTTCCACCCATGTGTGGGTTTCCTGACTGATCTATGTGTCATTCTTTCTGCAGTGACAGATGTACAGATGACACATCGCTTCACTCATTATACTTTAGAGCCTTTTCTAATTATCTAGCCTCTCTCGTGTTGGCTATATAAAGCCTGTGTGCCCATGTGCTTCACCCCTACCAGGAAATCCAATTTAAAGTCAACATGGAATTGAACCCAACCCTATTTACTGTCTTAACACATGTTCCTGGTCTTATTGCAGATGATTTCCAGTGCACATTACTGCAAAGAAAAAAAAGCAAATGTTGATCTTTTGGAAAAGCGAAATACCTTGCTTAAAGGAGTAGTTCACTTTTTTAAAAAAAAAAACTTTTGCTGATAATTTACTCACCCCCATGTCATCCAAAATGTCCATGTCTTTCTTTCTTCAGTCGAAAAGAAATTAAGGTTTTTGATGAAAACATTCCAGGATTTTCTCCATATAATGGAATTCAATGGGAACCAAACGGTTCAAGGTCCAAATGAGAGTTTCAGTGCAGCTTCAAAGGGCTTTAAACGACACCAGACGATGAATAAGGGTCTTATCTAGCACTGAAACTCTCATTTGGACCTTGAACCGTTTGTTTCCCATTGAAGTCCATTATATGGAGAAAATCCTGGAATGTTTTCATCAAAAACTTTAATTTATTTTCGACTGAAGAAAGAAAGACGTAGACATCTTGGATGACATTGGGGTGAGTAAATTATCAGCAATTTTTTTTTAAAAAGTGAACTACTCCTTTAAAGGAATGGCTCACTTAAAAATGAACAAAATATGTCTCACCCTAAAGTTGCTTCAAACCTGTATGAATTTAGTTCTTCTGCTTACCACAAAAGAAGATATTTTGGACAATGTCGGTAACCAGACAGTTTATGGACCCCCATTGACATCCATAGTATTTGTTTCCCTACTATGGAAGTCAATGGGGTCCATCAACTGTCATCTTATATTATCTAATATAACATATTATCTTATTGTGTTCAGCAGAAGAACTAAATTCATAGGCCTACAGGTTTGAAACAACTTGAGGGTGGGTAAATGATGACAGAATTTTAATGTTTAAATGAACTATCTCTTTAAGCAACTTGCCTTTTCAACTGTCTTCACCTAGGCCAAAAATAGTGTTAGCCAAAGCAGTTTATCTGTTTTAGGTACTGTTGTCTATATAGCCAATAGCTAATGAGTTAAGTATATGGTACTTCAATATTAGCAAATTACAGCATATATGAAAAATGCATTTTACCATAAAGATGCTTTTATAGGATGAACTTGACCTTTAGCCTCCAATTCATGGTGAAAAGGGCTCCTCAAAAGTAATCTTCAACAATCAACTGCAACTGGACTCCATCCTTAACCTCATCAAGTAAATCCCTGTTAAGGAAAATTAGCTGATTTGTGTGCTTGAATATTCTGTATGACTTGGAGCTATGTTGTGGCAGAGGTAAAATGGGTTGCAAATGCTGATTCACGTTGACTTTAAGGTGATAGTTTCGTTTGTGAACACAGTAGCTTGTCTCTAACTGGTCCAAGCTGATGTAGATGGTTGACCTGGCTGATGTGTAACACCGTCTTGGTCAAGGAAGTTACTGGAAAAAAGCAGGTCATACCAGCTTAAGGTGGTGAAGTAAGATGGTTCATTTGGTTGACCAGCCAGTGGGAACCTAATAAAATTTGGCCTAGAAATTAACATGCTATGCATGTTTTTGGTGGTCAAGGCGATGTATCTCGTCCTAGATGGCCTATTCGCTCAGCTAGGTTCCCACCATCTGCTAGTCCAGCTTATCAACCATCTAAACTTCAACTAGTTATGTTGCTGTTGCTCAACTTGTATTGGCTACCAGCTAGGTACAACCTTAAGCTGGTTTTAACTGGTCTAACCAGAGAAGCCTAATTTCTTGTACAGAATTTGAAAAGTTAGTGTGGCCCTCAAAGCTTCTCCAAGTCGTAGTCTTCTTCCCTATCCTATCTCTTTTCCCCTTTCTGTCCATTTCTCCTTGTGTGAACCCATTGTTCATTTCTTTGTTCTCTCTTTTTTTCCTTTTCTTCCTATCTGTGTACCTAGGCAGCCCATTGAGTAACTTCTTTGACGTAATTAAACAACTTTTTTCAGACGAGAAGAATGGCCAGGTGCCTCTCCCACCTGGCTCGCCCAACAGACACCCATCTAACGCCCGTCGCCACGACCCTCAGCCTAGTGACTCTAAATGCCCAGCGGGCAATCCCAGGGACAATGCCAAGCTGGTGGCATCCTTTGGGATACAGGAGCAGCCCTAACACTTTACCAATCAAGCTTTTTCAAACGTACCCTACATAAAAGCACTAAAATATGTCTTAGAGGTGATGGGATTTATATTCGGACAAACTTTTGTAGGATGGAATGATTGTTTCAAAACAAGTTATGACACAAATCCAGACACATTTCCTCTTGTCATGTCAGTTGAGTTTGCCAGCCCCTTCCAGAACCCCTGTTGTTTCTACCCAAGATGTTTTCATGTCTTTTACCTCTGCCTTCCCGTTTTCCTCACCTTTGTGACGACTTGTCTTTGCTGCTAGGCATTATCCAGAAAACTTATTAAAACGCTGCCCCACTTCCCTGCACATCCTGTGACGGACATTTATTGACAGACGGCACTTTTCATGACGAACAAGCAGGTTACCAAGGAGATGGACACTTCATCCTTCGTCACACTCTTCCCTTCCCACTCTCCGGTCTCTCCACGCTTGACGCTGGACTAAAATACAAATACAGACATCGCTTGCCCTACCATCATCTCAGCATCCTAACCTGTTAAAATGGTCAACCAGCTGGTGGGAACTGGCTGCTCCAACAGACTCTGTTCCAAAACTTAGTTAGCTGCCTCTAAGATACAGTACCCAGACATCCCACCTGTCCCAGAAGGTCCAGGAGTCGATTGATTGCGAGTCCCTGATGGATGCAGTATTATATACAATATCCTGGAAATTGATCAAGCAAGAGTGAAAGCCTGTTTCAATGTGGTATTAGATGCATTTTCGGTCGACCAATCACAAGTGGTCAGCCAAGACGCATTACAGTAACACCTGGGATTATCCCACCCGTCTCACGGCAATTCGTTCGGGTTTTACGAGGTGGCTAATTCATACGAGTTTTACGAGGTAGCTAATTCGTACGGGTTTTATGAGGTGGCTAATTCCGAGGTGGCTAATTCGTACAGGTTTTACGAGGTGGCTAATTCGTACAGGTTTTACAAGGTGGCAAATTCGTTCGGGTTTTATAAGGTGGCTAATTCGTACGGGTTTTACAAGGTGGCTAATTCGTACGGGTTTTACAAGGTGGCAAATTCATTCGGGTTTTACGAGGTGGCTAATTCGTACGGGTTTTACAAGGTGGAAAATTCGTTCGGGTTTTATGAGGTGGCTAATTCCGGGTGGCTAATTCGTACGGGTTTTACAAGGTGGCAAATTCGTTCGGGTTTTACGAGGTGGCTAATTCGTACGGGTTTTACAAGGTGGCTAATTCGTACGGGTTTTACAAGGTGGCAAATTCGTTCGGGTTGTATGAGGTGGCTAATTCCGAGGTGGCTAATTCGTACAGGTTTTACGAGGTGGCTAATTCGTACGGGTTTTACAAGGTGGCTAATTCGTACGGGTTTTACAAGGTGGCAAATTCGTTCGGGTTTTACGAGGTGGCTAATTCGTAGGAGTTTTAAGAGGTAGCTAATTCGTTGATAATTACCTACTTCTGACCCCACACCTAAACCTACCATCATTGGACAAATCATATGAATTAGCCACCTTTAACTCGTACAAATTCGTACGAATTGTTCATGAGATAGCGTTGGATTATCCCACGTTTCAAATGCGTCTTCTGTGACCACATTGTGATTTTGTGAAGACACTCTGCCCTTATTTTGTCACACTCAACTACATCACTTTCAATTTTGGCGCACAGATAATGAACAAACCCGTATTAGGCAGCTTATGTGAATGAATATAATAGTATAATATAATTTTTTTCTATATTATGGTGGGTCTTGCACCATCTCCTGGAAATGAGTTTTTGCAGGGTGGGATGTCTGGATACCTCACTTTGATCACATTATAATGCAGTCCCTTACTGCAATGCAATAAACTTTGTGCAAAAAAATCATTCAACATGGCAGGCTAAGCACTTTAATCAGTCTAATTAAAATGAGGACTATCTTACCCAATATTTGTTTATTTATTTTTATGCACATTAGAGAATGGTGTTGATAGCATGTAGCAACATGCTAATGTCAAACTCTGTTGAAATCAATTGAGCTGGGCATATGTGAGCTTAGCAACATGGCAACTCTACTAAAGTCAGATCAGTTCGAAGTCTCCCATGCTGTTTATATCACACAGAGTTCACTTATGGGGTTACGATTCAGGAAACCATCAAAAGCCTGGTGCACACACTTTTGACCATGATTTTGCCATCTAGGACAAATTTTCAGGAGTTATTTCATCATAAAAATTTGGAAAACCATCCGAAAAGAAAGAATCATATGTGTATCTTGCTTTAGAAGGCAGTAGACAGCAAGGCAGCTCGCTAGGTTTGGAACAAAATCACACTCAAAATACTAGACATGAACACACTTTCACACAGCTCTAGAATGTTTGCACTCAGATTCACAAGAAAAAAAAACGAAACACGTCCAGAAGGAAAAGATGACTTTGAGAGCTTGTCCTGGGGATGTGGATTTTTTTCAAATTGTATCGTTTCAGTTTGTGATCTTTTATTTATTTATGACTTTATGTTTGAAGAACATCACTTGATCTTAAATCATTGCTGCAAAAGGACTGAAACATGGTTTAAGTGAGTTTGGGACTCGGGATGGGATGGGGTGGGGTGGGGGGATAGTACTGAATGAATTTATCCTAATGAATGAATCTCTGTTGTACAGATTGAACATAATTATGTACAAATAAAATGTCTAGATGTGACACTAGCTTTAGTTCTGTTGTAGATTCAGATTTGAAATCTTGTGTTGCTAGTCTTTATTGAATTATTATTTAACCCTTGTATTTCTGTATTTATTACCTGATGGAACAATTTGTTTCACTTAATCGATTTGGTTAGACACTGAAATACAGTGTTTAATCATTTTTTATTTTTTCTCTTTTTTTTCTGATAATGTCTCATGTTCGCTACCAGCAGATACTAAAAAAAATGTTGAATACATTGTGAATATTTTTGTATTTTTTTCCTTCTGTTTATTTCTGTCCTTATTTATTATCATCCATTTATATACATGAAAACTTGAATGTTATTTATTTATTTATGACAATAATGTGTTTGTTTGTATCAGGGCAACACAATTTTGTTTGTTTAAAGAAACTTTCTAATGTCTTGATTTGTAAAAGTACCGTGGACTTTACGAATCTTTCTTTCCTAGCTTTAAAAGAGAACAAAATAGTATGTAAAAACAAACAAACCACAAAAAAAGCTCATTTAACAATAATTTAAGAATGTAGTTTAGCCTCTATGGGGAGGAAATGACCTTCTCGATATCAATGTCAGCTTCATATCATTGTGTGTGTACAATGGATGACAAAAAAGCTGTTCTTGGATCAGTTCTACTGTAAATATGATGTTGTGGCCTACGGGAAAGTTGATGGCCGTTCCTGCTCTTTGCTTTTGACTTGTATTGCTGTGTGCATGCACGCATTTTCTTTGCATGGCTTTAATGTAACTATTCTTAAAAGTCGCACTATTTTCTCAGATCTGCAATCTTTAAATGGAAAAAAAAAACTGCCATCACTTTTAACCTCTGTTAGTCTCTCTGCGATTTTTTTTTCTTTCTGTTTCCCTGTCACGTTTTCTACTATACCCTGTAAGCGAGCGACACAACACAACTTTTGCTCGCTAGCAGTGTCTATGTGGTATCTGTTTCTAAAATGCTTCCTTTTGTCTGTATGTACATCGACCAGGAAAGATTTGGATGTTCACGGCCCCCTTTTTACAGACAGCTGGTTTAAATGAAACAAAAATAAAGCAATACCTGTTGTGAACTTTCCTATTTTATACAGTTGAAGCAAAACTTTAATGACAAAATAAAATAAAATTGTCCGTGCAGAGCAGGAACATGCGTTTAAAGTTGTAAAAAATCCCCTTGTATCATAACTGTGAGCAATTTCAGAGAGAAAAATTAAACAATAAACTGATTCACTTAATAGGATGATACTAGCAAGTGTTCATGATTGTATGTTACTGTGTGGGCGAAGGTTTATCAGTCAAACAATCATCAGAGACAGAAGTCATATGCCCATGACTGCATGATATAGGCTAGGCCTACAAAATTACTGTGAAGACATGCAAATTTGCTGAAATTAACTTTTATGATTCTTATGAACTGATTTATTTTCTGATTGAAGCTATCTAAACATACATATCTATTTTTATAAGATATCTTTTTATTTTATTTTATAGTGATACATGTTCAGCCTGTCATTATAGTTATACGTTTAATAACATTTAAATTATATGAATACTGGTTTTGTTTGTTTACTTTTATACAACAACTAGTCCTCTCAACTTTGATTGGCCGAGTGCGTGCGTTCCACGAGTAGCACTGGGACTTTTTTTCATCATTTGTATCACTCCGCTGTTAGCGTCTAGGCAGCACTGGGACATCTTTCATCGTTTGTATCACTCCGCTGTTAGCGTGTTCCTTCCAGTTAAAGATAGATTCGACGTTGTTGTGATGCAGTGAAAGGTAACGTATCTTTTCTATGTTTATTAGAGTTTTTGTCTTAACCAGACGCGACGCCGACATTAAAATTATTTAATTTTAGATATCATTTTGTATCACTTTAATAGCCACAATGTAATGGCTGCTACGTGACCATGGATGATTTACCTCAAATGTACAACAGGTGTAACGTTAGTTAACTAGTTCCATGACAATGATTTTATCGGACACTGTATTTTGAATAACGTTAATATTGTAAGGATTTTTCGTGACTCTTTGTGCAGGTTACATTGTTATGCCCGTAAATTCCGACAAGTAATGTTAGGCTGTCTTTTATGTGAATTAAGTTACAAGTTACTGAATCATTTAGGCCTTGTGAACCATCGTATGTTCTAAACAAGCACAGATTTATTTATTCAGGAAGCAAACATGCGACAGCTTGTCCCGTTTGACATCTTTTGGAGCAGATGTAACGTTAAAGTTACTCATTAACCTTTTGTTTATTGAATTGAAAGCAATATCTCACAATTGTGAATACTAGCAGCACGTGCTATTGGAAATTCCCCACTTCCCACTTCTTAAAGTAACCCTGTCGTCAATAATTGTATCCCTTAAAACTCATCTTTGATCAGATTTTTCTCTTGAAAAAAAAAAAAAAAAAAAAACATGCCTTAAAGGGGTGATGAACTGAGAAATAAAATGTTCCTTGAGCTTTTGACATCTAAGAGGTCATCATATTATAAGAATTTCCTGTAAGTTTCAGAACTGAAAACGTCCTTGTTAGTCCAATAAAAGCTTTTATTGACACCAGCCTCAGCAAACGACTCGTTTTTCAAGGTGGGGAACTATGACGTCAAAGAAGATAAAACACCACCCCTGCAGAAGAAGATCAACGCCTACTTCAACATGGCCGTTAGCCCTGCCCACCGATTCTCGCATTACACGCATAGCTAAATAACACAGATGCCTACCTCGTGATGACAAACCAGATCAAGCTACCGAGCAATACAGAATATTGTGCAGTGCCTGGTTGTGGAAGAAGACAGTCGCTGCAGAAGCTTTCTCTGGATTCCAATAGGACTGCATAAACTTTATTTTTAATGACGTTCCAGCTGATGAGGCTGATTTCACTGAGGATTGTTTTGTAAGCAAGACTGGATTTGCTGACCGATTAAGAGTAAAGAATGGTGCTGTGCCGTCTACATTGGATCCAACAGGAATTGTGCAACACAGAGACTCTGGGTCGAACATGTATCACAAATCATTCTGGTTGCCATTTAACAACATTGGACGTTTTCAAAACAATTTCCCCCAAGTGCATCGACGGGTGAGTTGAAACTAGGGCTGTAACGATTTTGACTAAAATCAAAATCACGATTAATCGAACAAGTCACCTCGATTACGATTATTGAACGATTATTTTAATTTTTTTTGCTTTCTCATATGTCACTGGCGAGGCTTATTCTGTAAATATGTATGTATTTTTTTTTCTAATGAAAGAGTGCATAATCTGAGATTCTAAACTAAGGAAACACACAGATAGCTTTTAATGCTTATTTAAAAACATTTTTAAAAAATGTAGAAAATAGTTATTTTTGTAAATAAAATAAATTATTGTAAATATTGCCATGTAAAAAGTAAATTAGAGCTTGTATAAAACTAAAAAAAACTAATCCTTTTCATATTGTATAGCATCTGTAAAATGCTTGTGTTATCGAAAGCTGCTTTGTGGAGTGGAGGCACTTGTTGCTGGGCGTTTGTCAGTCTCTCTCTTTTTTTCGTGTGTTTCTTTGGTACAAGCAGCTCCTGTTGCTGAGTTGACTCAGTATTCTAGGAATCAGAGAGTCGATTCACACACAACCCGCAAAGACACGTGACATCTCAGCAGCGTCTATAGTTTCAGCAGCGTCTATAGTTTGCTTATGAGTTGCGATTTCTTTTACGAAAAACCACGCTTGTGCATTTTATTTGTATCCGATTCGATCATAAACTAGCGCATTACGTACCGTTTCACGCCGGCGAACGATCCCGGCTTAAACGCCATCATAATGCTACGTTCACACCGGACGCGGATCGCGCGTCAAATTCGCGCCTGACGCGTCTAGTTTGACGCTTGACCAATTTGTTTAGGCTGTAACGCGACATTGATTAGGCTACGGCTTTTGTTCACACAACGCGCGCTCCGTGACTGAACTATGGACTGAACCATGGACTGAACCAGAGACTATTTAAATACTGAACACAGCAATTTTTACTCTGTCCCCAACCTGGCGGCACCAATCCCGGGCCGTGTTTGCGTTCACAAAGGTGTTTGTTCTGGCAATTTCCCGGGATCAACGCACTGTGTGAAAGGGGCTCATGTTGTTTCAATGTCGCAGACTGGACGAGGTGGAGTGACGTGACTACTATGTTTTAAGTACGTTAACACACAGTGGGCGGATATATTAATAGTATTCAAAAACCGAAATAACCGACATGGTAAAATAACGTCAGTTATAGGCTCTGAATTTCGGTTTCGATTATTTTTCGGTTAATCGTCCAGCCCTAGTTGAAACTCATTATAATATTCAAAACTGTTATCCACTCACAGCAGTGGGCGTTTACTTCCAAGTCTTCAGTGCGAAACGCCCATAAAATCCGAGCGTTTTTTAGCTAGGCTCAAAACTAGTGTACAAAATAGCCTATTACTTGTTCATTTTGATTTTTTTGAATGCAAAAACCAAGCCAACGTCATAAGTTGACCTCAGACAACAATAAAATAAAATTTAAAAAGCCAGTTCATGACCCCTTTAAAGGTGCACTGTGTATTTTTTAGAGGCATCTAGTGGTGAGGTTGAGAATTGCAACCAACATTTGTTACAGTGGCCGACAGGAAAAGATGTCGTCTGAGACACCAGAGAGTATCCAGTTAAAGTGTTTTCGCTGCCAGAAACAACAACAAAGACGAAGCTTGTTGACGCTATTAAGGAGAGTGGAACTACTGTATGGGAGATGTCCCATTTTCACTATCCAGAAATGTATAGAATTCACGAATCATATAAATTATATATCAGCTAGTAAATTCGCTTTTGTATTACCTGTATGTTTGATCACACTATGTTAGGCCATCGTAATGAATTAGCTGCCAGGAACGTGAAATGTAATGCTATTCAGTGTTTCCCCTACAATGTATTTAGCGGTGGCGCAGCAAAATCTTCACATGATCAGTATCACAACATTCACTTACACACCTAAAAACACTGAGGCGACCGGCGGCGCTGCTAATGAGTTGGCTCCGAATCCACTAGTTGACAAGAAAGGAGGTTACTATTATTATTATTACTATTATTAATGCCGCTAACGTCCGAGAAAAACGCGCTATGTGAACGACTCCTCATGGCAACGTGACCTTAGCCTAATCGAAAATATTTCCATATGTGGCTATTTCCTCCTTTCTTGTCAACAAGTGGATTCGGAGCCAACACATTAGCAGCGCCGCCGGTAGCCATGTCTCAGTGTTTTTAGGTGTGTAAGTGAATGTCGTGATATTACCGATCGTCAAGATTTTGAGAGACGCTGAAAATCCAGTGGCGCCGCTGCTAAATACATTGTAAGGGAAAAAACGCAATTATTGACTACAGGGCATTTTGTATCTGAACTCTGAAATGTTTACATTGAGTATTTTTAAAATTTGGTTTGTCAGGAGTCTACACATTTCTATGAGAGACTACCTGTGAAATATAAACAAGCCAGTGTTAGAATCATATGTACACGATCAATCAATCAGTTTATTTATAGAGCAAAAATAAATAAAACGACACTATTTGACCATTGTGTTGTAACCGGTCATACTTGACCCGCTCCAAATGGGACTCGAACTGAAGGCGGGTGGCCGGGCGCGCCAACAAGAAGGTTAAATGCATCAAAACGTATCAAGAACATAACAATAAGCAGAAAGTCAATAACACTATAAAGGTGTTTACAGCAAACACAGAACGTTCCCCTAACGTTACCGCAACATGACATCATGACTTTTGCGTAAGCATACGAGTCAAGTGGTGTGTTATCTCTACGCATTTTGAGCTATCCGCGTGTATGCGTTAATGTCTACGCCATTAACGTCCGAGTGATTCCGCGTCTCTGTACACGCCGTCAAATGTCCGCGCGAAACGAAGCAAAATCTAGATCTACATCTGGGGAGCGATCTTTTTTTTCCCTAGGATGGTAGGGGAACCCTCATAAATGGCATTAACCCCAGTGACGGTTAGGTTTAGGGACGGGGTTGAGGTAAGTCATATATTTATATACACAGTAATAACGTTAAGTCAACGGCGTTCATAAACGCGCTGAAAAGCTATTATGCGTCTTGATTGGACGCTGAAAATGGAAATACGAATTGGCGTGTCATACATACGCTACTTCATGAGATCACTCTGGTTCCCGAATGGTCCCATGAGTTTATTTTTTTGGGAACCAAACAAGAACGTTATAGGAACGTTTCATGTA